AATCTAAAAAATTTCGCTATCTGGTCGAATTAAAATTCAAGATCAGGTGTAACATAAAATCAAAACAAAATAAACCCTAACCCTAACCCTAATGCCAGTAGCGAAATTTTTTTAGATTGGTAACGCTAGGGTACTAGTTTTCATACCGTATAAACTTAAATTTCAGAAGCCTCATATTATGATGAATCATGTCTAATAATACCGCACGTGCCCATCACTAGCCAGCAATACAAACATAAAAAAGGAGATTTTTATGTAGATCTCGTAACATAACCACCTTTTTACGTTCTAATTAGAAAAATTCCTTGCAAATTATTACCCGACTCTATTCCTAACTCTAACGCTAACGTTATAATTTCCGCATTTTATTAGTACAAATCCAATAAAATTATATTTTTCTTAAAAAGAAGTTTTTAGACGGTTCCAATCTCTATTATATTTGTGATATTGTTGAAATTGTAATTACAGAATTGAATAATTGAAATTCACATACCAATCAAAGACATAATGAAAATTCCAGTAATTAAACATGTGAAGGCACCAAGTTGTTGAATCTTAGAAGATCTTCGAAACTCAATGTCATGTAAGTAGTCATTAGCCATAAGTCCAACTAAAGCAGAGTATAAAAGAATTCCAGCAGACAGGGAATCAAGAATTCCTTGTATAGCAAGTGCCATTTGAGAGGCAGGATTATAGACGTTACGGACACTTAAACCTATAGCAATACCTATCGGAGTTGTAATACCATATGCAAATGACATCAACCAGGGTTTTATGCTGTTATCAGGATAATCGAGTTCAGCAATACGTGAACCAAGCCCAAGTCCTTCAAACATCTATTAATTTACATTTAATAATAATGTTATTGAATTTTTTAATGAGCAAATATAAAAATATTTATAACGCATATACTGTACTTGATGAAAGACCAAGGCAATGAACAGTGAAATAAAATCGGCACCAGTTGAAACAGACAAGGCCAGTCCAATAATTACAGAATGAAAGCAAATACCCAATTCCAAGATAGCGATCCCCACAATCTGAGCTTTATTTATTAATAAAGAATTTCCACCAAGGTCATCATTGGCACATTCTCCATTTATGCTATCATAATATGACACCGATGTGTATTCGATAAAAAAGATAAATACTGCAGCCAGCATTGCGATTACACCTGGCCATGCATCATAATCTGATAATGTATCTACGCATTGAAGGTTTGAAAATGCTGTTGGAAGCATGTGTACTTATAAACAAAAATATTTAGAAAGTTTATTCTATTTAAGTTTCTTTTTTGAATAAAGTATAAAAATTTTATCATACCAAAAGCTGTTGCAAGAATTACTCCAGTCCCAAAATGTTTAGTAACTGCCGTTATTTTATGTAAATAAATTGTTACAAAAATTATTTAATTATTTAATTACATTATGATACACCTAAAAAAGTATATATTTACTAAAAAAAACCGTGCGTGGAATTTGTAATCCAGGAAGTCTCTTAGTTATTACCGGAATCAATGCACCTATTATTAAAAATAACAATAAATTTTAATAATTTTATACGAAAAATATTTATAAAATTTGAAGGTCGTTTCCTGACGAATATGATTTGGAAATTTTATTCCGATTGTTAGAACTTATAAGTAATTTTTAATTATTGCCTTGGAAATGATCTTACGAAAATAGTAATTATGGAGAAGCGACCCATTTCTAACATTTTCGATAGTTTTGTAATATTTATCCAGTAAATAAATTTTTATAAGTTATATGCAAATAGTTAAAAGCTTTTTCCTTTACCTGAGGAACTAGTTAGAAGAACCACAAAAAAGGAAATCAAATGAAGGTTGAAGTCATATGAAGATAAATCGGGCCCAGTTGGACATAATATAACATTGGTTGAATTGTCTATTGAATCACCTGTTAATTAGAAAATTTTGTTTATATATGATAATACAAATTTTATGAATTTTTTAAATAGTTTTATCACCTTGAGCGCTAACTTTACTAATAAAAACAAAAATATATCCAAAATATTTGTCCATATCTGTTGCAAAAGTTTGTTTTTTTTCTTAATATTGAACAAGCGAAAGTGATAAGAAGGTTATGCTTATTATTGAAAAGTGATAATTTATCCTTGAGAAATCGGGAGGTTTTCGAAGAAACAAGGTTTTATAACTGATAAGGTACACGGTATCAATATTACAGTATCCATTCACATGCATATCTTAGTCATACGTACGTAGACTCAAAAATGACTACGGTACCACTAGAGATGCAGTAGAACCTTTTATAGCTTATGTCGTAACTAGTTACGACATATCGATTGTTGCAAGCCGTAACGATTTTTACTGTTTTTGACAAAAAAATTTTTTTTTGTACTGTCACGGGGAGTTTTGACACGAGATAGCAATTATTACCAAATTTAGTATAATTGTAAATAGTGTAAAAATAGTCAAACCGGTAATAATTGTTAATCTTGTAACATCTGTAAAAACCGTCAAGAATGTAAATACGGTAAAATTGGTTTATCGTGTAAAAAATGGAAAATAAGAAAA